CGAGACGAGATTTGTCTACAAGTAGACCCAACTCGTGCACCTTGTTCCTTAGGCTACGCACGTTGCTAAGTACTACCTCAAGGAAGTCGGCACGACCATCCCTGGGTCGTGCGCCATCAGGATTGGTTCTGATAGGACGGAAAGTAACTTCCGGCTGACCACCTGAAAACCCACCAGACGGAGGCCTTGCTCACCAACCGCCCCTCTAGTTTTGAGGTCTTTGATAGCCTTCTTTAACTTCAACCTATCTGCCAGTGGTACGTCCGGCTGAACGCTGACACTACTACCCTTAAGTTTGAATGCAAATCGCAGTAACGATTTGCGTTCCTCCGGGGTAGAAAGGACTACGCGAAGTAGTCGGGGTCGTGGATTTGGCGCAGCGATAAGAACGTTCCCCAATCTGGTCAGCTTTCTGACAGTGACAAAATGGAAACCAGGTGGAAGCAGCTTGCTGACACACAGTTTCAGCCACTTGATGTTATCCAAGATGCGTTCCCTTGGGAGAACGGCCTCAGATTCAGTAACGTTACGGAATATAACGCTACTATCTGTGAAAGAGTCGGCACGACGGGGAGTGTTTACCCCACGTGCCTTGGAGTCGACACCTGTACCAGCTGTTTTCACCACTGGCGGTGGGACTGTCCCTGGCTTCACAAACGACGCCGAAGAAACGGTAGCGTAGGTTTTCCGATCTATTGCCGGCGTCTTACTGGTTCCTGGGTCTTCAAGCCCCTTCAAAGTTTTACCAGCAGATGTAGTCCGCTTCTTCTTCTGGTTTACTGAAGCAGGGGCCGTTGACTTTGTATCGCATTGAGCAGTTACCAGCATTTCGCCAGAACAGGCTGGTTCACTGGCGGCCGAGACAGTCAGCGTCTGTGGAATGTTCTGTGTGCAATCGTCAGACGAGTTTATGACTGCCAAAGACGGCATCTCTTTCGATGCTGTGGCAACTATTTCTCTGGGTTTAGCAGAGGGCTTTTGGTATTTCCGCACACTATTTTTCTTCACTTTGATCGGCTCATGAGGACAGCCAACAATGCTACCTGGATTGGCCGGTAGGATGTGCGACTTTATGACCGAGTGACAGACTCCAGTGGATGGATCGTCAGCAATGTTGCCGACTATTGCTGTGTCTTCAAACGAAATATTTAGGGATTTTAAAATCAAATCCATTTTTGTATCGAGCGAAGCAATAGAGGCGAGTTTAGCTATCGCCAACTCAACATCTGCCAACCTCGAAGCCAACGCTGAAAGTTTAGCACCGGTAACAGCCAGGCGCGTCGATCTTTTAGCGCAGCATTCAGCGCAGCCGAAAAGAAAGTAGACGCTTGATGATAGCATTTTGTACTGGTCAGCTTGTAGGCCGGTACAGCTTTCGTGATACCAGCGGCAGCAGACGTCACACTGCATACCACCAGATGCATCTGTTACTGGCTCTGAACAGTTAACCTGTCCGCAAGCTGCAGTAGACTCATCAAACGAGGACCCCATAGGTCCATCCGTCTCGGTGTTTAGCGAGACAGCCATGTTCATGTGGAAAACAGATTAGAATTACAACACGCATGCAATAGGAAAACGACCGCAATAAAAAGACAAAAACAGGGTGCAAAACGGGATTAAAACTGGGAACAACCGGAAAAATTACCAGTAAGCGCAAAAGGCGCTTTGGCCAGGTCAGGTCAGATGGACGATAGAGGCTTCCGCCTAACGAGCGTCCAGTTCTTGTGCCGGTAAGTGAATCGACCCCCTGCACTTCGACGTTGGATTGTTTCTTCTTGCTTCTGCAATGGAATGATGCAAGAACAAGAGCAGTCTCTGCACTTTAATACGCCAGCATCAAGATACACTACATATACCAGTACAACTACAATAGCTCTGGAAAAAGGATGGACCAACAATTGTCTAAGCCCCTTTTGAAGGCTTCTACGGTCTCAGACTCCACACAATCAGAAGGAAGTTTATTCCAGTAGTTAACTACTCGGTTCGTAAAAAACTTTGCCCTGATGTCCAAACGAGCTCTGTGATGTTTGAGCTTAAGGCGATGACCGCGCAGATGGTCTGACGTAGCCAACTCAAACAGATGCGTGGAACTAATACCACTAAGTCCCTTAATGATCTTAAACGTCTCTATCAAATCCCCTTTCAACCTACGCCGCTCCAAGGAAAATAATCCTAAGCTACTTAGACGATCTTCGTAAGACTTCCCTCGTTGACCTTCAATCATGCTGGTCGCAAGTTTCTGAATCTTTTCTATACAAATGATGTCACTCCGGAGGTATGGTGACCAGGCCTGAACACAATACTCCAGATGTGGCCTGACCACTGCCAGTACCAATTTAATCGATACAAGATATCTTGGATCAGAGAAAATTTGACAAAAGTCAAGTTTCGTTTCAAGTGTTTATTCAAACACTGTTTTCCACGTTATTTTGTAATATTCCTCCAGTCCGGCGTTCTGAGCTCTTCCGTGTCCAAGTAGTGTGATAAGCTGCAATGCAAAATAAATACCTCGTAGACGGCTGTACGCTCGAGCCGCCTAGTAAGAGGCCGATGTAAAGGAAGCAGCTAAGGTAGCACGGAAGAGTGCCAGAGAGGAATATGAGGGTAATGAAAACAGGAAGCAAAGCCGATCGACCTCTTACCTGTTAACGTGTTACCGTGATGCCCACAGACCGGCTACAATTTCAGCTGAAAAGCTCGATCCGTATGGCACGCCAAAAAATCGAGTTACCGCGTAGTAGGTCAGGTCAAAAATCCGTGGACGATACAGGCTTCCGCCTAACGAGCATCCAGCTTCTTGTACCGGTAAGCGAACCAGAGCCCCCGGCACTTCGACTAGCCTCTGCAAAAAGAAATGAAGCAAAAGCGAGAGCAATCTTTGCTTTTACAAGGATCAACCTCGGATAACAATGCGAATAAATTGGATAGGATTATATTAATTCCGGAAAAATACGCGGCCAGCACCTGTCTAGGCCTGCTTTGAAGGCAACCACAGTCTCACAATCCATTAGTTCCGAAGGCAACTTATTCCAGTTGCGCACTACACGGTTCGAGAAGAACTTAGCCCTGACGTTCAGTCTAGCCCTCTGCTGTTTGAGCTTCAAGCGATGTCCACGCAAGCGTTCAGAATCAGCCAGCTCAAATAAATCAGAGGGCACGATGGCACTGAAGCCCTTCATGATCTTAAATGTTTCTATCAGATCGCCTCTCAGTCTACGCCGTTCAAGGGAAAACAACCCCAGGCTCTTTAGGCCATCTTCATACAGCTTCCCCCGTTGACCTTCAACCATCCTGGTTGTTAGTCTTTGAATCTTCTCCAGGCAAAGAACATCATCACGGAGATAGGGCGACCAAGCTTGAACACAATACTCTAAGTGTGGCCTAACCACTGTTTTGTATAGTGGCAGGAACACTTCTGGCTTGGTATTACACAGAGCCCTCCTGAGGCGAAACAATTCTCGTCGCGCTTTGTTGGCGGCGTATCGACATTGCATCGAAGGCTTGAAGCTGCTCGTCATGATGACTCCTAAATCGAGTGCCTGGGTAGTGCATTGTAAGGGGAAGGGCCCAGAGGAAGTCTGAACTGCAAGTACGTCTCTACTAGTGGTCAGAATTTGGCACTTGCTTGCATTCAAGGGCAAGTCCCATTGCTTCGACCAGTTTACCACACTGATGATATGCTTGGCCAGTGTTGCACGGTTGCCCCTGCTGACTAGCTTCAAGTCATCCGCAAAGATATAACAGGGGTCTTCAATAAGAGGAGCCAAGTCGTTTATAAACATAAGAAACAAAAGTGGACCTAGCACCGATTCTTGGGGTACTCCACTGTAGGCCACGCCCACACTAGAACTCACATCACCGATTCTAACTCGAAACGTTCTCCCACATAAGAATTCTGACACCCAAGACAGAAGTCTAGGATGTACTCCGAACCATGCTAATTTTTCAAGTAGGAAACGGTGATTTACTGAGTCGAAAGCCTTGCTAAAGTCAAGATAGCAGACCTCTACCGGAATCCTGTCGTCAAGACATCGAGTAATCTCATCGAGGAAGCACAGTAGATTAGTGAGGCACGACTTCTTTTTAATGAAACCATGTTGCTCTGCTCTAAGTAAACTGTGTTCCGCCAAATGCTCACAAATCCGGTTTCTTATAAGCTTCTCTAAACACTTGAGCAGAACACAGGTTAGACTGGTAGGTCTTTGGCGCGCGACTCGATTGCGAACGACGCTCTGTCAACGCACTCGACGCCATCGACATTCTCCCTAGCTAGCTCTCTCCGGGTGCCCTATTTTTAGCATTAGCTAACGCTCCTCCCGTCCAATAAACTTTTCCCTAGCTTACTGTTGTGTCTTCTATCCATTATTTTTGGTTGGCCGTCTAGTCGCGTACCGGATATATAGCGCACGATCTACGCGCTATAATTGGTGACCCCGACGTGACGCTGTTGACGCATCAGACACCGCCATTGGCGCCGTCCTACAGCAACATACAAATGGGAGCTGGAAACCTCTTGCATTCTACTCTAGACGCCTACAACCCGCCGAAGTCAAGTACAGCACGTTCAGTCGCGAACTGCTAGCCGTTTACGCTACCGTTCGACATTTCCGACACGTTCTTGAAGGTAACACCTTCATTATCTTCACCGATCACAAACCGCTTACCTACGCATTCCGAAATCAATCAGCTCGACACTCACCACGTGAGATTCGTCAGCTGGATTTCATTGCTCAATTCTCGACTGATATCCGACATATTTCTGGCCAACAAAACGTCGTCGCTGATGCTCTTTCAAGAGTATCTGCGATTGGTCCTGCCGGGCAGGCAATCGACTTGTCTGCTATGGCCGCCGCGCAATCAAACGACCAAACTTTTTCGAAACTCCGCGATTCTTTGAAGATATCCCCGCACCCTCTGCCGTCATCTGATGGTACCATTTTATGCGACACATCTACCGGACGACCTCGACCCGTCGTTCCAGAAACTTTTCGCCGTATCGTTTTCGACACCCTACACAATATCGCCCACCCAGGCATTAAAGCTACTGCTAAGCTTGTCTCTGAGAGATACGTTTGGCCGGGGATGCAACGCGATCTTACGCGCTGGGCACGCAGCTGTCTTACCTGCCAGCAAGCCAAGATTCAGCGGCACGTGTCCGCTCCGCTTGGTCGCTTTCCGTCCGTTTCAGCGCGATTTGCCCATGTCCATCTCGACATCGTGGGACCTCTGGCCCCGTCCAAAGGAATGGTCTATATTTTGACCATGATCGATCGTTGCACCCGTTGGCCCGAAGCCGTTCCCATCCCTGACGTATCTGCGGAAACCGTAACACGCGCTTTTGTCGAGCGCTGGGTCGCTTCACACGGCTGTCCAGCCACAGTGACTACAGACCGCGGTCCGCAATTCGAATCGACGACCTTTAACGATCTCCTTAAACTCATTGGATGCCAACGCATTCGCACGACCGCCTATCATCCGCAAGCGAACGGCATGGTGGAACGTTTCCACCGACAGTTGAAAGCCTCACTTAGCGCCGCCGATGCGCTGAGTTGGACTGAGGTGCTGCCTATGGTCCTCCTTGGGATCCGATCAGCCCTAAAGGCCGATCTACGTACGTCTAGCGCTGAGTTAGTATATGGACAACCATTGCGTTTACCTGGCGATTTCTTCTCCGTTAGTCCCAGAATTACCCGTTACGACGCAAATTATGCACGGCAGCTAGCCACGAGCATGCGTCAGTACAAGCTTCCCGACGTTAGAGAACAGCAGCGTAAAACTTTTGTTCCACAAGACCTGCAGCATTGTCCGTTCGTTTTTCTCCGCCTCGATGGTCTCCGCAGACCACTGGAGCGACCTTACGAAGGTCCTTTCAAGGTCCTGCAGCGTAAGGACCGCGTTTTTATCATCGACCGTCACGGTAAACGTGAAGCCGTTACAATTGACCGTCTCAAGGTTGCCCACGTGGAACCTGAGCTCAACGAAGACCCTTGCTCGTCTTCTGACGAATCAACGCAGCCTATGATGGAAGACTCGACTGCTTCCAACATCCCTGACCCCAAGTATCACGCTCCATCCAAGCCTTCTACTTCAGCCCCGCCGCTTCCCATCGAACCAACTGCCACGTCTTCAGCAGTTCCTCCAATTTTGCGATCCGATAGGACATCTAAGGCCACGCCTTCCTCTGATTCGAACAAGTCGACTAGGTCGGGTAGACGCGTTCATTGGCCAGCTCGATTAAGGGATTAGCGTTCCTTTCACTTTTCTTATTGCTTTTCTTTTCCCTTTTGACCAACAACATACGAACCCCTCCAAAGCTTTTGCAAACGACAAAAAAAACCGACAAAAGTTTTTTTTGAAAACCCAAAAAGAACGCAAAATGTTTTGAAAACCCAAAAAAGAACAAAACGTTTTGAAAACACAAAAAGCTGCGATTTGCCTGACGCCTACCTCATCCGGTAAGTGTCACTCTTATTTTTGCTCTCGCCTCCACCGTCACTGCTCTTGTTTCCGTTTACTTTCCATGTATGAACCGGAGGAGATGACGAGCCTGAAGCGAACATTCGACCTTCACGAACTCGCGAACCATTGACGCTTACGAACTTCCCCCCCATTTTGTGTTTTTGGCACCGTTAGGGAGGACACGGGTGGGAGCCCGCTAGGGTCCGATCGCCTGGTTCTCCCCCAGCAGCTGCATCAGGTTTCACTACCTGGTCTCGCAGAAGGCTGGCCCGCGACGGACAGTCCTCACGTAGATCGAAGGGTCACCCACGGTTTCCCTTCTAGGAGGGGGGCTGTGTAGCGACCTGGAGATCAGGTCAGGTCAGGTCAAAATCCGTGGACGATACAGGCTTCCGCCTAACGAGCATCCAGCTTCTTGTATCGGTAAGCGAACCAGAGCCCCCGGCACTTCGACTAGCCTCTGCAAAAAGAAATGAAGCAAAAGCGAGAGCAATCTTTGCTTTTACAAGGATCAACATCGGATAACAATGCGAATAAATTGGATAGGATTATATTAATTCCGGAAAAATACGCGGCCAGCACCTGTCTAGGCCTGCTTTGAAGGCAATCACAGTCTCACAATCCATTAGTTCCGAAGGCAACTTATTCCAGTTGCGCACTACATGATTTGAGAAGAACTTAGCCCTGACGTT